GTATATGTATATGTATATGTATATGTATATGAATATGTATAGGTATATATATAGGTATATGTATTTGTATATGTAATGTATATGTATATGTATATGTATGTGTATATGTATATTTACATATATATATATATATATATATGTACATATATTATATATATATATATATATATATACATATATATATATATATATATATATATATATATATTTATATATTTATATATATATACATGTGTGTGTATGTGTGAGTGTGTGTGTGTACATATATATATATATATATATATATATATATATATATATATATATATATATATATATATATATAGCATATGTATGTATGTATGTATATATATATATATATATATATATATAAATATATATATATATATATATATATATATATATATATATATATATATGTATGTATTCTATATTCCATATTCTACATATATATATATATATATATTCTGTGTGTGTGTATGTATGTGTGGGTGTGTGTGTACGTGTATGTGTGTGTGTGTTGTGTGTACGTGTGTGTGTACGTGTGTGTGTGTGCGCGTGTGTGCGTGTGTGTGTGTGTGCTTAATCGATAGACATCTCACTCTATATTCATGAATTTTGCCATGTACAAGCCCACTCACTTCTCCGAATGCTATTGAGCCATATTTGAGTGTACGGGTGGTAACCGATTGTAATATTTGTAAACACGGAACCTGACTACTATTTGAGAAAAGTCTTGTCTCACAAGTACGAACACAATGAATATCACAAAGAACATGTCTGCATACCGCAAAATCCAACAACCACAGGCACATGCATATCACAAATGGGTAGTAATACAGCGTATACTCTCCTGATTCCAAGACACTTCACTATGCTACAGCAAGCATACGAGAATACGAGACCGCTGTGTTTTTCGCCACTATAGGCCCGAACGCTGTGTGGGTACTCACCTCCACATTTCTGAAGATATGATCCCTCTGACTAGCGAAGTAGTTCTCCATAAACGCCTCCTGACCTCCACAATCCCACAGGTTCAATACCAAGTTGCCGAGGAATCGTACGTGAGAATGTTCAACATCAATAGTGTAACCCAGTCGACGGGTATCACGAGCTATGTAGTTGGCGAATATAATGGATCTCATCGAGGTCTTACCAGACCCCGATTTTCCCATCAACAGTACCTTCTTCTTCATCGTACAAATGCTTGTCTATTAGATCAACAACTACTACTACTACGACGAGTATGTGCTATGCAATGACGCGAGTAGCGACAGCTATGTTTTTTATCGATCAAATACACAGTGGATTATTGTTGTATGTGAAAATGGCAAAACGTATAGGCCGATTCACGTCACGAAAACTTTGGAACTGGTTTTGTATGGTACCGAACTTTTGTGATAGTCCGAAATTCGCACACACATAAATTTATTTCTTTCCACCAGAAATGTGAATGTATTTTATCAGAAAATGTGAGTAGAAATGTGATGAATCACAGTCAGATGGCATATGTATTTATTTGATTTTGGGGGGTTTTTTATTCTGCTGTGTATATGATACGATACGGGAGTCCTACAGATTAGGTTAGAGCAGGATTGAACAACATGACTAAGTTACGCCGAAAGGATTTGCTGCGCAAGCAGATGCAGCACAAGCTTCGACTGCAGATCTTAGCCGACAGTCACGGTGACCCAACGGATTATTATCAGTTGGCAGACACGTGGGAAGGTCCTGAACTTCCACAAAGACGTCCCTGGACGGATGAGGAAAGGCACGAGTTTCTGCATATGATCAACATAAAGAAAGCTGTGCATGTAGCCGTGGTACCCATTATAAGTATCGATCTTGACTTGGTTTATAAGATCTCAAGCGATTGGGTCAATACATGCGCCTGGGAGGACAAAATCACAGCTCTTACCTACTCTTCTAGTACTGTGAACGGTGATAGATGTGCGTCGTCGCTTATTAAGGCGGGTGCTGACCCATCCATCCGATGGGTCAAGCGTGGTGAAGTAGAGACGGTAGTAAGCTATGCTAAGCTAGCACTTAGAAATGTACGGGCGTATATCCTGTCACTGAAGCTGCCCTTGGCAGTGTGGCTGGTGAAGCAGGTGATTTTCATGCGAAAAGCTGGAGTTGACCGGTTGAACCTTGGGTCAACAAAGACTAAATCATCCTCCCTATCAGCGTGCGAGACATGTAGTCGTACCTCAGTAGACATAGAGTACATGCCACTGGTGTGGAATGGGTGTGAGCATGTGTTCTGCGAGGCGTGTGTGTGGGCGCACATCTGCAGCGGTGATTACGGGCTCACCTTTGCATGTACAAAGTGTGCACCTACTGCGCCAACCGAGGATGACCTGGTTGTCCTAGATAATTCAGACGGACTAACCCCTTCCCAGCGCAAGCACAATACCTCAGAGAAGTACTATGCACTACTTGGCGGAACACACAGCGACGGGTCCAAAGGTGTACCCAAGAAGTCACCCTTCCGAGCTTTATCCCCTATTGAAGTTCGTACCACCCTGCTCAGTCTGATGCGCGCGGGCAGAAAAGAAGTGCTCTTTCAAACCGTGGTATTTGGTGATGTGCTGTGTTTGATGGCTCTGTATACGGCTGGCATGGACGTGGAGCTGGAGGACCAATGCGGTGAGACCCCTCTGTCACTGAGTGTGTTCTACGGCCACGTGAGATGCGTGAAGCTGCTGCTATGGGCAGGCGCGAATCCTAACGCAACTGATAGAGAGGGTAATAACCTGTGCACTATTGCCGCAAAACGCAAACATTCAGAAGTATTACAGGCGCTGTTGGACGGTGGGGCTAAGCTAAGCCTTGCGAATGACGTTGAACGTCCTGTAGTGGCCGATGGCGGTGAAGGTGTGGGAGTGGCTCGAGCCGTTACCATAGCTGCAGAAGGGTGTGGTGTGCAGTGTGAACCTGCTCTACAGGGCCGGGTTGACAGCATGCTCGATTTGATCACACTGAAGAACAACGGCGTTAATATCTCAGCTGACGGGATAGCGGCGCCGTGTGTGACAGTCACTACACTCATCGAGCCCACACGAGCCCACCCGGGTGCAGGTGCAACAATGATTGACGGCGCATTTACTGACGAGTTCTTAGACAGACTGATCAGTCTATTCCATGGCCTTCCCCTGCCCCCAGTGGATGCATTCGCCGAGGCGAGGCGAAACAAGCGCAGGAACTACTCGAAGACCTGTGCACAACGCCGCTACTTTATGGACCATGCTGAGTGGGTGACGGATGCGGTGAACAGGGCGCTTGCGTTGCCTGCTACGGCGGGGAGTGCCGAGACCACAGCCCACGGGTGCACAGTAACATTCCCTCGGTTACGATTTCTGCACTACCTGGAAGAGGGTGGTCGTATGGAGCCACATGTCGATCTGTCCAAGACCGAACCCGCGTCGAAGATCAACTCCACGCACACTCTGATACTGTACCTGCATGATGTGGAGCAAGGCGGAGAAACGGTACTACTGGATAAAGTGGGGGGGAAAGGCGCGCCTATCATCACCTGTGCGGATGGTGTGTCTGATGTAGTGCTGGCGCGTGTCTTACCCAGAAGGGGAAGGCTCCTGTTGTTCCCTCACTTGTGCCCACACGAAGGGTTGCCTGTCGTTGATTTGCCCAAGCTGTTCCTGAGAGGAGAGCTGTACTGATTTGTTGAAACTGTATCTCGAGCTTGTATCCATAGGTTCATACAAATTAATTATCCGCTCTGTCTTTAACTTTGGGAATATAAGACAAACGTTTTGCAATCAACACACTATCGAGGCGAACTTCTGAAACTATTTCTGGTACAAGATGGAGCGTTTATCATTGTGGCACAGTAAGTGTATTTTTTTACAACTGAATTGTTTGCCATAAAGTTCAAACCTTCTACGGAAGCTGCGATAACACCAGAGCCGATAGAAACATATTTTTGTTCTGTGCATTAGATACCGACATTTGAGCTCTGCAGTCCATATATAGAAACTATCTGTGGCCATGAGGATACACTTCTTTTCATGTGTAGCATTCGACCATGTAGTCGATATCAGTTGAGATGCTGGCTACTCCGTCTGGTGGCGTTTATATTTCCTACGTGATACACACAGTTTCGCAAAGGCAGAGGTCTAGGAAATCAGTTGTATATTTCACTCTTTGATCAAGCTACTGTTGTGTAGTTTTAACACGGTGGTATACTTTCGGCTGGCTTTAGAGGGATATAATGACGTTGCTGCATATCGCAAGATTTCTTATAATCGAATCCTATAAAGACGAATCACATAATACGGTTCAGCTGTTCGCTGAATTACTGTAACTGCTATTCAACACTAAGTGCGTGCGTGGTTAGAAAGAATTCGGCTACATGTCTCAACACTTGTACACGTACAAAGGTAACGAGCGTGTACTTTGTTGATGGATTTTATTGTGAGATAGCTATGTACATTATATTTTCTACTAGTCCGTCCGAGAACGCAAACATGCGATGCATCCCGATGATTGTTTCTTTTCATGGTGAGATACGGTCGCCCAGTACAATACGTTCCGCACGGCTAGGTTTTATTTTTTTTTAGCGGACGGGGAGCTTTACTCCTCCCCATCTTCCTCATCATCAGATTCATTCGATAACTTGGGTGCTAAGTAGAATCGGACATATCCCATTTCCTTCATTGGGTATTCGACCATAAGGGGTACCTATAAATGGGGGGTGAGATATAGACATGTGAGTCAACATGTTATACAAATATTGGCTTTGGTGTGAATAAGGGATTTTTAGGTGTCCATACCCCACCCTGGTAGCACGTCTAGGACTGACAAAGATAAAGTAAACATATAGCATGCAGCCTTGACGAGATTTCATTAAAGGTTCCTGACACCGAACAAGAAGATATCAAAAGGATGACAACATGAAACTTGAGCTCGCACGTGAACTGTCAGCGTTGCCCCACAGTCGTATCACCACTATTGCGCACTACAGACAGTACTCAAGTACTTGCTTAAAAAGGATGCTTCAAGCAGAAATGATATAAGAGTCGCACAATAAATCAGACAAGGATCTGAAGAGAAGAAAAACATACCCCATCGCCCAGGTTTAGTGTAACACTCTCGTTCAGCGCTGCTGACTTGGAGAATTGTACTAAAAACTTGGTGGCAAAAGACAGCGAGATGGGTTCTTGGACTTCGATAACAACAGCCTTCTTCTCGTCATCTACCGACGACGACTGTCTCAGAACAATGGATCCACTTCCGGTGTCACCAGTGGTAGAGAACTGTACGCCGTCCTTTGTGCAACTGATAAGCACTGAGTCTCCGATTGTGCTCAGGTCGCGCGTGATACGGGCGAACTCGGCGGAGGGCATACGCACACACACGCTGTACTCGGCCACGGGGATGGCAAGCTGCTCTGCGTCAACATCCATCAGCTTGATCTCGTAGTTGGACACTTTGTCTTGTTCCGTGGACTCGAACATGAGACCTAATACGTCTCCCTTGTCCTCGGACGACAGTGTGATGGCATCGTGGTTTCCAGCCGTCTTGACAATCTACGCGAGTAATTGTAAGTGATGGTATGCTCGGGTTAGACAAAGGCCAGCATGGCAACAGAGAAGAGGAACCAGTCTTTTGTATCGAGAAGTAAGATGAATCTCGCCTAAATAAATTAAGCGAAGCAAAAGCGAACGTCAAGAGAACTGACTACCGATTAAGACCACTAAAGACCCCCTTTAGAGTCGTATCGACACACAGCCATTTTAATACCTATACCCAAATACGCAACACCGAGGAAAGCAACAAGATGACAAAACGGTGAACTGAACGACAAACTCGGCTCGTAACTCGTGTAAAATAGTATCGCCTTTGGGAAATAAACTTGCATTCCACCGGAAAGTAGCCCTGCTTACCTTGCCGAGCGATTGCATGTTGATACCCAAATTGATGGAGCGATCGCAACGATACCTCTCAAACCCTTCTGATTTAAGCAGAAGTGCAACAAGGGACACATGACTGGAGTCCATAGCCTGTAGCGAGATGCCGGTGCCGGAACAGTCCAGGTTGCCTTGCTCTACGAGCTCTCGCACAGAGTCGAGAATTTTCTTTAAGATCTCCGCTTGGGCGACGCGTGCTTCAAACATGATTGCTAATGTATGTGTATGTACAGATTCAAGTCTAGATAGGTTTGAGTATGTACGTGGGTGTATATATGATTGTCAACCCTGTGTGTCTGCCAGTTTTGAGGCTGTGTAAGTAACTTTCAATCGATAGCTGTACGCAGGATCACTTGCCTTCGCCTCGGTGACTGTGATTTTCAGTCAGGCTTCAGTCTTCAGATCGCCAGAGAGTGCGAACCCAAAGTCCCAAACACCGTTCCGTTTCTTGTGAAATCAGAAGTCGTCAACTATTTATGAGCGTCTCCAATCAAATCGCGCTTTCGTAGATATGCGAGTCTTTCCGGCGGTCTGTGCGGACGAAGTGGATTGGGCAATAGCCCCGCCAGGAATACGCCACTTTTATTGGCCTACCATACAATATTGGGCGGGCTCGGATTTCAGAAGGGTGGTAACTTGTACTAAAAAATACTGTATCTATTTATCTTCTCTCTGGTGTTCTGAGGACTGTGTGATTTATATATTTTTTGGTTTTGTTTTTTGTTTTGTTTTTTAAAAAACAAAAAACAAAATAAGCTTTGAGAACGGACGAGTAGTAGGGCAAACGACCTATAATGTCACCGTAGGGCGCAGGCGGCATTTGTTATTTACGTGGGTCTTGACAGTTGACACGCATGTCACTAAGGGATGTCACTTTCACACGGTGAGTTAAAGACACAGTCAATAGTCTGCGGGCAAGAAGTGAACAACTGACCGTAGCATTCTACTTTTGAAACCATTCAGAGAAGTCTCTGGTAGATAGAAGTCAGTACGAAGTGTTTACTGGTGTGCTTCAATGTGAGGGTTTGTGCGTGACATAGCAACAAATCTATTTGAAGCTTCTCGCCATTGGGCTGCACCTGGATCGAGGTGTTAAGCTAGACAGCTGCGACAGATATGAATTATCAACCGAACACAGTCACTCAAAATTAGTTGGAAATGACTATAGTATACTCATAATTTTCATGTATGCGAGGCTTTGTTTATACAGCCTGCACAAGTGGTAACACGAAAAACACGAGACAAGTGACTTATCAATAAATCACTGGCCCAGTCAATGGTCATGATAAGTACATGCGGTGATAGAGGCTCAATCTGAATGAATACTATATTACGGGCATGAATGTGTACACAGAGGCTCAGGGGAGTTTACGGCTATGCTTAATCCGGTTTGTTTTGACGAGTTTGAGCAAAAAGTCACAATACAATGGCAGCCAAGTAGTACGCATGCAGACCCCATAGACAAGCAGATATAAACCATCATCTCGGCAAACGTATAAACCGGGATATATTTATATCGGTGGGGACCTTTTAACCGCTATTTGCAAGTTTTATTCATTCGGATATCAGAGCTGGCCCAATTGATTGTGCTTAGTTAAAAGTCTCGGATCATATCGTAACGAGGAGTCACCCAGCTTGCACAACATATAGTTATAGTAGTAGTCACATTGTAGGATGCAGGGTCTATCAACGCGTGTTCATCATATCAAATCGTAGACCAACAATACAGATGGACTTCAATCGATGGAAGAACAGTGTTTACAACTTCGGTACTCAGGGATACGGTCGAGTTGGTAACTGATGGGTATGAGCCTACGTATATACATGTATTTATATATATATATATATTTTAAATATGCGTGTGCCCTCGCATGTGTGTGTGTGTGTAAGTTTATAAATATATATATACGTGTGTGTGTGTGTGTGCGTATGTGTGTGTGTGTATGTAGTGTGCGTCTGTGTGTGTGTATTTAATATATATATATACATATATACATATATAAAAGTATATAAGTATAGGTATAAGTATAGGTATAGTTATAGTTATATGTATATATAGGTATATATATATAGCATATATATATTTATATCTAATATATGTATATATATATATATGTGTGTGTGTGTGTGTGTGCATATATATATATATATATATATTGTACAAACATACATATATAAATCTATATTTGTATTCATGTACGAGTGTGCATTGCGACATATATTTATGCCTTTGACAGTCTACATACACATTACTATCGGGTTCAAGAACAAACGTATCAGAATACGTATCATGTACAACCATTACACTATGTAGTTGTGCGCCGAATATCAACAAACTGATCAGAGTACTGATTCGGTACAACCATTGCACTACATCTGCGCCCAGGAACTCAACGAACGTCTTATTATTGCTATGTACATACTCATATGGATGTTCTTGCTTATGTATATCTGTAAGCATGAGGTTGTATCCAGCTCAATCTATAATACAAATCTTGTATACTGTTGCCACTGGGCTGATGATCCTCTTGTAGATGTCTTTGTGTGTCATGGTCTGGTTTCGCTGTAGGTCTATGTATCATTTTATCTGCAGAGTGGATGTGGACGTTAGTTCACAGCAGTGTGAGATCCATGTATATATATGTATATACATACACTCAGCCTTCCAGGCGGGTTCTCAATTTCCGACTGCCATTGAACATATATTTGGTGGGTTTTTCGTGTCGGTATTGAAGCTTCTTTTAGTCGCTGTACTGTATGCCTTGTCAATCTGCTGCTTCAACTCGAATCTACAACTACACAGCAAGTAAATATGAGCTTGACAAATATTTCACTGGCTATCCATCCTTACTCGAATCGGACTATGTCTGGGGGATGGTGCGAAGTGTTCTCTATGTTTGAGCCGTTGTATGTTTTTGATTCAACTATGAATTTAGACTGTAAATCCGTATGATGCATCTACTTTGCCTCGTTTGTACTGTATGAGAATTGTTTTCTAAATCATACCCCGTAATTTTCATTCGTTCTCCGAATTGTTGCATTCCGGAGAGAAATTGACAGTTGATTTTTGCGTTTGTGCATCTGAGTGGAGACTATATATTGATGCGGTTGATCTACATGTTTGTAGGCAGCTGCTTTGTCATTCTGAATCACTCTGAAAATTTAGGGAAGTGTCTGGTGACTAGCTGTTCTATTCACTTTGTAGTGGAATATGAGTTCGTCAGAGAATACTTCACATGATCACATTCGTACCAGAAGACGAGCACAAATTATCGATAAAATTGATGCACGTGTGTAGTTTAAATGTTGGCCACTCTGGTTTGAGTAAACGTATTTGAAGTGTAGTCTAACATTTAATTTCAATTCGCAAGCGTCAGAGAGAGAAATATATAAAGTGATCCTTATGACGAAGACGGTACCTTCCTTCCGTAGACAATTATTTATGGTTGTTGAGCGTAATATCAATTTACATTTTTATATAATAAAGCATAGTGATACAGCACATCCGCATTGAAGCCTGTCACCGTCTGCTTTTCCGAGGCTCATCGAGTGATTTCAATGTAGAATGATCCTTCATAATCAGTCTTGGTTAGGCCGTGAGACTTCATAATCATTCCGGTTTCAAGTTCATGTATGAGCCAAAGCGTTCCGTCACAGTACTGAATGGAATAGAGCGTTTATACCAGGGAGTCTCTCATCGATTTCTTTGTATTTTTTACTTAGTCGTGCAGAACTTCTGTCATCGACCTATCCTCTATTGCAATGGAGAATATGAACTCAGCAAACGCTGCTCTTTTCTTTGGAGTTCTATCCACTCACGTGTACAGCATTGTCGAAGTTTTCCTAAAGTCGGCACATAATTGTACCTGAAAGTCGCTATATCTTTAATTGTCAAAATCACTTACTACGTCGAACCTTTTGTCCATCTCGTAATGTTTACTAGCTCTTGTTGACAACAAGCCTGCCCAACCCTTCCTTATCAACACCAATGAACATTAGTTCGTATCGCTTGTTCCCGCCTTATAAAATCCCGCAATAAGATGGCCTCGCCTGCCTATATCGACCGGCTTAGTATCATTGGCCAGCAATAGCCGCTGATCGGTCAAATCCTGTGCTTGTCCGGACAAATCTAACTCGAAAACATCTATCGAACTCACTTTGGAGCAGCAGTCTCAGCCATACCGGATATTGGACATCTGCGCTTTGATGCCAGTATTGCTAAGGCTAGACCCGGCAGGATCCAAAAACTCCATAGCGTCACAGTCTTTCAGGAATTGGTCTGCTTCCTTCAATCGCCAATTGAACGGCGGTGACCTGTTCTCTGAGTGCAATTGTTCATTACGTGCGTTGTCTTCTATAAATTCAACTCTGCCTGTATCCCATCGTTAAATCTACACTGTAATATAAAATGTTGCTTTGAATTCAATTGTGCACGAAGCTTTCGATAGCTTAGAACTACTAATAAATGACTACTACTATACTGGCCATGGGGTTCTTCCCACCTGTTGCCGAAACCACACTCTTGTTAGCATACGACTATCCTCACGAGCAAAACGCATGTATTATGTCGTAGCCAGGTGAAGAGTACCGTCCATATCTCTCTACAAATTTTGTACTTTCATGTCGTCATTGTTTGCATCAAGGTATACTTTTGCCTTGTCAAATAGTCTCAACCACCTTATGTAGAAGAACGAAAGACCGAAATCTCGCTACTCAAAACGGTACATCGACACACTTGATACACTGGATGACGCCGCCTTCGATCCAGCGACGGATGCGCTCGCTTTGGACATATTATATGAGCCTTCAATGGTTGTCTGAAAGTTGGATTGTCCTGCAAGGTAAAAGAATATGAACCCTCGCCGTGCGATTTCCTGTCAACTGTACTACTGATCTCTGTTCGCTTACAATCTGGAGAGTATCCTTTAAACTTGACATGATCTACGTCTCGTTTTGTCTTATCTCACATTCAATAGCTGGAATAAATAATGTGATAGTTTGTTTGATACCGAGCAAACATTCTATAGCCGATATGATACATTTATGATTTTAACCGTCCAATCCTCGATTTCAGGTGAGCATACAGCTGGAGTATTTTACTTTCGTGTCAAACTATCACGTCGGCGCCGTACCATACTGTCTTCTTCCGTATGTGAGGCCGTCGTCTCGATCGTAAATAGTAGTATATGAGCCGTGATGTTAGCAAATAAGACTTCGATCTGCTATACGCTGATATCTCGTGAGGCAATTTCAACTAGTCGACTATTTGCAGATACGAATATTGAAGACAGCACTTTTGGAAGAATGGTAAAGGGCATTTTGATGATGTCATACATACAG